TTCGTCGTTGGGAGGATGTGCACTTGATAATGAGGCGCTTTCATCATTTGGAAATTATGCACGTTGTTGCTGTACAGGAGTGCTGTGTCGATGAGATCGTTCCCCGATGTTGTGTCCCGTCCCTCGGACTACCATGTACTGCTGTATCGATGAGATTGTCTGTACTGCAGTTCTGTATCGATGACATTTTACCCCAACCATGCGTCCCGTCCGGCAGACTACTATGCTTGCTAGAAGAACGGTGGCAGGCAACTTCATGATATCCATGAAGAATCTCAGCGCAACCCTGGCGCAGACCACGTGCGGCTTCGTGCGCTGCGTCAAGCCTAACGCGGCCATGGACTTCGGCATCTTCGACGGCCAGTGAGTCTCGCCACTGCTGTGGTTGCTGTTCGCGTTCCCTACATCTGCTGCTGTTGCTGTTGCTCCCATGGATGCTTGCCGCGCCGGGTCATGTGGGTGCATGTGCGCGATAAATGTTTTTCCGCGGTACGTATTCGCTATAGCTCTTCTTCATGACCTCTGTTTTTCCTTTTTTTTTTTTTTGCGTGTCGCAGCTATGTGGTGGAGCAGCTGCGGTGCCTTGGAGTCTTGCGGACGTGCGAGGTGCTCAAGGTCGGCATGCCCACACGTATCTCCTACATCGACCTCAAGATGGTGAGAGGCCCAACCACCTCCCCCATCAAAATATGGTCGTCGAATGCCGCCGGAACTCTTGCAATATGATATGCTTTTTATCATCTGCTGTTGAGAACGTTGTTGAGAAATTAATTCAAGGTTTACTCACAAGCTATATATTATATCATTATCGTTCTTGGAAACATCAAGCAGGATCAATGCCCTTGATTTGATCAATTGTTCTCGAGCTGAATATACACTTACCACAAACAAACGCATGCGTTTGTGTCTCAACAATTCCCTCCGGGATGTTCATTTCTCGCAGACAGCGTGAAATTCATTTTTCTTACCCCCGAAAATGTTGGCTCTCGACAACATCTCCACCAACCACCGTCGTCGCCTCGCCTCTGTTTTTTGTCGCAACGCTAGAGTTTTTCTGCCGCGGCTTGTTGTTCGTTCTATAAAATCCCTGGTGACGACATCGCACTGAATGTGCCCCCGCCGTGTTGACGCTGCTGCCAGTCACTGGGAGACGGCATCCTGGAAGCGGAGAAGATGTTCGAGGGAGAGCCGGAGAAGTCGCTCGTGGCCGCCATCCTATGGGCCTTCGACGTGAGAGGCCGCGTTTTCGCTTCTAGGCTTTGGTTTTGTTGCTGATGGTGTCATTGTAGACGATGTCGCCGGTTTTTTTTTTCTTTTTTTTTTGTGGCTGATGATGTCGTTCTAAGCGGTGTTGTTGTCGTTATGGGTGCTGTTGTTTAGTTGGAGGGCGACACTCGAGCGCGCTCGAGCTCCCTATTATTGTAACGGCCGCCTTTTGAGTGTACCTTGCGCCCGTATGTTCTTTCTTTCTTCGACCACGTCCGGGGCTGTCTGTTGACCCCGACTAACTTTTCCCAAAACGCAACCTTTGGGCGACGACGACGACGACAACGACCGTGTGGTTTTCGTTCCCACACTGACCGAATATTCCTTGCGCAAACTTTGGATGACGACGGTGGGGTTTTCGCAGGTACCTTCGGAGGCTTTCCGCTTGGGGGCAACGCGCGTTTTCTTCAGGGCCGGCCAGATCTCGGTTCTGCACAAGATTCTGAACGAGACGCCGACGGAGAAGATTCCGTGGGTGCTGTCCAGGCTGCGGTTGGCCTTGGCGAACCGTAGGATGGCCAGGATCGCGGCGGAGGAGGCAGAGGTAATTTTTTTTTTTCTTCTTCTTACGATACAACACCATTCAGGTATTTTCTTCGCAGGCACGTACTGCATCAAAACTATTCTACCTGGAATGTTCTCTCTTTTCGTACGAACACAAAAATAGTGGCGCGTTCTTCGTTTCTCTCCACCTGGAAGCATTATTTTTTATTTTCACTTTTTGTCTTCTGACGAGAATATTTTTTTTCTTCTGACGAGAATATTACAACTTCTGTATGTACGATACAGTCGGGACGTGTCTTTTTCACTTTTCTTGGTGCACCCTCGCCACTCCTCTTTATTTTTTGTTTCCCCCGTCCGTCTCCCGTCTTTGTCTGGTCTAGGATGCCCTGGCGGAAGCTGAGGCCGCGGTAATGGAAGCGGAAGCGGTATCGTCCGCCGGTACGGGCCGCCCGGTGGAGAAGAACAACCGTCCTCCCATGTCGCCGGGAGCGAGCGCCGACGAGGACATCAAGGCGCTCGTGGCCACTGTGGACAAAGCACGCAGGGCCGCTCAGAACACGTCTCAGGTGTGCGGGCGTCTTGTTGTCTTGTGTTTTTAGTTGGCATCGACCGTATGTGTGTGTATGTGTGTGTCTTTGTTATTGGCATCGACCGCTCTTATCAGCTGACCAATTAAAATACGTTAGTCTCACTGCGGTTGAAAACACAAAACCCTTCCAAATGCCATTAACTGGGACCCCGTGCGTGTTTGTGTTTGTTTATTGGTATCGACCGCGCAAGCCGGCCATGTACGAAGAGAATCCGTGAGCCTTAGTGCTGCGAAGAGCATAATACTCTTGTATGGGCATCATCTGTGAATGTGTTCGTTCATACTGGCGTTCATGCTAGTATAATAGCAGTCTAGGCACCTTTCGGTAAACCTTTCTTTTCGGCCGGGGTCACGCACACGTACAGGCAACATGCTTATTGGTACGGGAAGCCCGGCGCAACTGATTTTGTGTTCCTTTTTTTTTTGTGTGTTCAGGTCAAGTCAGTGCTGAAGGCGTCCGTGGCGGGGGGCGTTGGTCAGAAGGCCGTTGGTGCCGATGAGAAAGTCAAGAAGGCATCCGAAGAGGCTTTGGCGGACATCGCCAAGGCCACCCAAAGGTAAGACACCCGAGAGAGAGAGGGACGAGATTAGATAGGTGAGGCAATACATGTGAGAGAAATAAGAAGAAGAGGGAGGGGCGGGGGGCGGTACTCGTAGTCGTGCATGCCGTAGTCGTTAGAGACATGCACCCAGAGAGAGACAGACAGACAGAGAGACAGAAACAGAAACCAGCCGGGGTCACACAGGAGAGATATAGGTATGTAGGTAGAACCACGTGAGTTTTGTTTTGCTCATATATTTGTTCGCCTCCGTGTCCAACTCACACAAACACCTTACCGCAGAACCACGGTATGGCATCGACCACTGCACCTTGGTTCAGTCTCTCGTCATGCTCCCGCTAACCGTAAAGCTAACTCACAAGCAAACGAATGAATTCCCCGCCTGACTAAAGGGCGAACGAGCTGGAAGGGCTGACGAACCTGGGCACGACGATGGCGGACGGCGCAACCGGCGAGACGTCCGCTGTGCGCGAGCTGCACACGGCCCTGAGGGACGTTAGGGAGGGCCTCGCCAAGTGCCGCAAGCTCTGGAAGAGCTCGGAGGAAGCGGCGGACAAGTGCGAGGTGAGCCAAGGATGTTGTTGTTGTTGTTGTTGTTGTTTTGTTGTTTGCTGTTGTTGTTCTTGTTGTTTTGTTGTTTTGTTGTTTGCTGTTTTGTTCTTCTTGTGTTGGTGTTGTTGTTGTGGTTGGTTCGTTGTTTTGTTGTTTGTTTTTGTCGCTGTGGTAGTTGTTTGTTGTTGGCGTTTGGTCCGGAAAACCCTTTGGGCTTCGTCTTTGACAAGGCGGGCTGGTGCCTGCCCCAAGCCCCATGATTGCTTGTTCAGTCGCTGGCGTGCGCGTGTCGTATAGCACACACCCTCTGTTTCACCCGTGGTACAAAAGCGCACATGTCTTTGTACCATAATTTTTCTCCCTCCTTCCTCCTTCTTGATTGCTCACTCGAAACCACAACCGTCTTCTCCCTCTTTTTTGCTGTGAACGTCACGATGCTGGGCGGTACGGCAAAACACACCAACCACCCTGCAGGGCTCTACCGCGGTCGAGACCGCAAAACAGTCGAAAGACGTGGCCGCTGACGTCATCGAGAAATCGAAGGTAGTGTCGGAGACGTCCAAGAGGGCGATCGAGATCGCTCGTAAGCAACGCAGGGCTAAGGAAGCCACTACCCGGGCAACGGAGAAGGCCCTCCGGACGTTCAGGTGAACACCGTAGAGAGTACGGCCAACCGACAAGCCATTCCATTTGTAAGAGTTGTCCGCGCAGGTGTCCCGAGTCAGAGAATCAGCCACGAGCTACTATGCATAGAAGCGAGGCGTTTCGATCGCAAGAGGGTGACGGCAGCTCCCCGCCTCTCATGCCTCCCCATTCTGGGGGTCCTTTCAATAGGGCATGCTGGGCTTCGCTTCGTTTGTTGAGAGGGCACCGGTGGATGGATTCCGCATGTGCCTACTTACGCTAGGGTATCCGTTTGATTTCGGTCCGTTGCTAAGCATATTTACGCTCTTCCACCACTTGGAAACGTCATCGATCAGATTGAAGCCGGGGGGGGAAGTGGGGGGCCGTTGATTTCTACCAGGGTGTCGTGGAGTAGAATGAGCACTCGCTCTCTCTCGGCCTGCGATGTGTCTTAGAGCGGGTAGTTTGAGGTTGGCTTGTGCATGCAAGCGGTTCGTCCGTGTCTCAACATCTACCATACCACCTGGCCAAGTGGATAGCGCTAGTTCGTGTGTACACAGAGGGAAGAGAGTGCTGAACTCTTCTCGCATTAAAAATTGAAGGCGAAGTACCGCAGGAGGGGAGGGTAGAGAGAGGCTCTTCTGTGTGACCACGGGTTGGAATAAACGGCACTAGTGCTGTGAGCGCTGATTTGAAGTGAAGAACAAAAAAAAAAAAAAATACCACCGGGCTTTTTGTCGTCGTGTTCGACACATCATTGTACCCTGTGTTTACGCTGCTCTTCCTGTCGCATCCCGTTCTTACGGCATCCCCCCCCTGTGCCTGTCCCGCCCTGGTAAACCAACAGGACGTTCCAAGTCACCGCGCGGCAGGCTACCCTCGACGAGAAGCGGGCTCGCGAGAACATGCCCGCCGCGGACGGCAACAAGAAATCTCTCTCCTCCTTGGTGCCCTCAGCGGCAACTCCCGGCCGCGGCCTGACGGCTGCGGCGCTAGCAATGGCCGCTGGCGCCCCCGGCGGTGGCGGTGGCGCAGCCGGCGGTGGCGCCGGCGCGGCTGCCGCCGTGGAAGAGAAGTACGAGAACCTTACCGACGGCCAGAAGGAGGTGCGCGCTGTGGGGCAGAAGGCGGCGGTAGCGGAAGCCGCGACGGCCATCGCAGAGCTGTCGAAGGAAGAGGAGCAAAAGCGCCTGGAGCTGGCGGCGCTCGAGGAGGAGCGGCTGTCAGGAGCTCCAGGAGGAGGCCGCGGCGACGACCAGCGGAGCGGTGGCGGCGGCGGACGGCGGCGTCGAGTTTACCGAGCAGGACGCTAAGCTTCAGCAGGTTGCGGACGCGCTTCAGAAGGTGCAGGAGGCAGAAGGCGGTGCCG